TGTAACACTGTAATACTTTTAGTGACATTTGTGTGTGTAAAGCGCATCCAGATACGAGTAACAGAAAAGGTGCGTCTCATTTCGCTCCCTGTATCGTGAATCAGTTTATCATAAACATGAATTCGGTCACTGACAACAAGTGAATGATGGAGAAACGGAGCTTTCGAAGCTCCGAGTCATATGAATCAATTGCATCGCGAAATGATTCAGTGATTCGAATCACTCGAACTAGCGCACGCTGACGTCACCTGCTGCTCAAAACTACAAACATGTGTAATGAAAACTTTTACAAACCAACTGCAACAGAGTGGAATCTATTAAATATAATCTAAAAATCAGTAAATACTAAATATAAATCTTAATACAAATGTGACCCTTTGTTTAGTTTGTGCTTTTATTAATTTGAGTGCTAGTTTTCATCATTTTTTGTCTTGTCAAGTTTAAGTCCATTAACTCTCTCTGACTCTGAACTCTCTCTTAACTCTCACTCTGACTGACTCCCTTACTAGTGCGCTGACTACTGAACTAGGGAGCAGACTGAGACGCACCCAGAGATTTAGTTTGGCATTTAGCCTACTTTTTCTTTCTGTTAATTCTTCTCATCTTAAACAGGACAAAGTGTCCAAACACACAGAAAAACTCCTGCTGAAGATAAAAAAATAATACAGAATTAGCCTAAACAAAACAATTATTTTGTGTAACATTAAACCCAATATCTACTTCTCATAAAAAAAAAACAATAAAAACATGAAGCAAATGATGACAATTTAGTTTTAACATTTGACATTTGTTGTCTGTGATTTGTTTTTCTACTCATCCCCAGAAGTGCCATACTAACATATTAACATAACTGAATGTAAATGGCAGTAAATGTTCATTACAAAAAGTAATAAGTCATATATCAGAAATACCAGCCTACTTATAAAATAATAAAACATTTCTCCAGCTGACACAGCTTGGTAGAGTCACTGCATGCTGTTTATCTTTGTTCTTCATTTAAAGATCTTTGGTGAGCAAATAATACAGTCAGTGACCAGTAACTTTATAATGAACTGCAGCATAATAAAATCAAACTGTTAATGTTTATGAGTGACAAACAGTTGATATCAAAGACCTAAGTAGTGCACTAAAGAAAAAAAACATCTGTTGTGCCTGTCACATCTTCTAACAGCATCAGTGGTAAATGTAGCATCAGAAGTTGATCTAGGATGAGTGTTTCTTCTCCTGGTCTGCATTTCTTAAAAGTATCGTAAGCCAAGTTGATCATAGAGACCATTTGTGGAAACAGGTCTACGATATACTTGCTTTTGGGAAACGCAGCCCTGAACTCATGTAGCAGCACACATGTGGGATCTTCTCCACATTAAGACACACAACATAACTGTGAGGAAAAAAACTCTCAATGGATTTTTACAGGGGATACTGAGACTAGCTTATATATAGCCGCTTTTCCACCGTTGGGCCGAACGGCTCTAAAGCCGCCTTTCCGCTTTCTCCGACATTTGGATATGATTGTCGCATTTCTCCCCTAGTGGCAGTTGCACAAAACTTTCAAATTGTTCATGAAGCAACCATTACCCTCAGCTTATTCACCATGGTAAAATAAATTATTTTAATGAATATAATGGATGTATGATTATATCCACAGAAAGGTCCCCCAAATAAAAACATAGTAGGTTTTATGGGGCTTATCAATGTTAACAATGATTTAAAGGGGTCATATGATGTTGCTAAAAAGAACATTATTTTGTGTATTTGGTGTAATGAAACCACATGTGGCGACTCCGGGCTGGACTCCGCTTCGTCCACGGTGAAAGCCGATCGACAGCGCGAAGTTGATATATTTCCTCAGCGACCAGCACGGATCAGCTCTAGGCAAAGACGAAGTGGATATCGTCCTCTTTTGGAAGGCCAAACAAAGTAGTTTCGGCGTAGATGGCGGTGACGGCAACAATACTACAGCGAGAATAAAAGTTATTATACTTTCTTTACGTGAACATTTGGGCGCCGTTATGCAAATCTTCCCACATCGTGACGTAGATATGTGGGGGTGTGTTAGAACGAGCCGTTTTAGGTAGGCGTGGTTGACTTAACTTTTATAAAGAATATCTCTTTGGATTTGAGACTTTAGTCTTTGCAACTTTACAGATCTTCTTTATGCACCAAGAGCTTGTAACACTCCAAAGAGAAAGGAAAAATTGAAATTGCATCATATGACCCCTTTAATAATTATAAAGTAATTATTTCTGACATTATATAAACTGTAATTTTACAGAAATAGTGTTTACAGAATAACATTAAAGTGGGAAAATATTGATAATTCTAACCTCATGCTTTTGTTTTGAATAGTTTTGATTAGAATACATCACTGATCGGAACTCCACGCAGCTCCCACACTACTCTCCATTGGAAATTAATGACTTACGTTATGTCACTTGTCGTTTGTCTGAGATAGTGGATAGGCAGCTTAAGAACGATAAGGAACGGTTCCGGCAGAATGCATGTAGTGACGTCGCCACTCAGGATCAGGCACTTGTTTATTGGGGGATTAAGATTTGTGAATATAGGAGGAACCACACTGCCTCCACAATTCAAATAAAGCAATGCAGCAGGAGTACAAGAATGAGAGCATCCATCATAAATTCTGCCAAGAAGAATTTGCTGGTTGGCCAAAAGAAGCACTTCATTACTTGAAATGTCTTCAACTGCAAGTGACCAGCAAGTACATTTACATGTACAGGTTTCTGCACTTGAGACTGCGGCACAGCGGGTAAGACTACTTGATGGACGTCACAACCATCAAACAAATCACAAATGGGCTTACATTCCTGTATTGTCATACCCTTATTGCTGAAGCAAACAGTTCCACCATCAGGCACTTGCTCATAGCTTAACACCACATGAGAACATGGAGCAAGGAAAGGGTCTGATCTCTGCACCCCACTTATTGGAGCTTCACTAATGTAAAGTTTGAGTGGGTTTTTATTCACATTAGTTCCTTTCATAATTTCAGGCTTGGTTATTTGCTCACATCTATAAGGGTTCAGAGGGGGGTTTGCAGGAGAGAGTTGGCTAGGTCAACACTGTTTCTGAACTTTTCCACCTGCAGTGGCTCACAGCAAGCTCGGGAGATGCAGACAAAGCATCACCAAAATTACAGTTGCTCACCACAATAGGTTGTTAGATTTTACTGTATTTGGCAGAGTAAAGGTTTGGGTGGCTCGTCAATTTATTAGATTTCTCTAATACATAAAATAAGTAAGCTTGACCAGAGTTCTTGTGGGGAGAAGAAGTTATTAAAAGTAGTATTAAAGCACAGATCTTCAGCAGCGACGTCAGCTTGTCGGCCTTCAAAATATCTTAACCCTTGTAAGAGTCCTAGCTTCTCCCAGAGTTCTGTCTGTGAGACAGAACTGGTCTGGGAAAAACCTGGTCACCTGCTAGATCATTCCCCAGTACAAGACCTACTCCTTCGAATGGTAAATAGAAACACACCGCAAGGTTGACTATCCCAGTCACATGGTCTGACTTCAAGTTGACCCGATGGAGAGGAACACGATCACACCCCATCTTATTACCACATATTAGTACTTCAGAACTGGTGTACAAATTCTGCGAGAAGGGAAGTAACTCCTTCAGGATTAAGGACTGTTCTGAACCAGTATCTCGCAAGATCACAACAGGTTGATGCTCCTTGTCAGACAAGGAAACAATACCAGTAAGGATAAAAGGCTGCATGGACTTATTCTTAATTACAGACATAGTTTGTACAAGAGCAACCTTCCTAGATTTACCATCAACATTTTTCTTTTTCCCAAGCATGGCACTCTGCAATTAAGTGATCTGTTTCTTGGCAGTAAAAACAGACCTGATGGCCTCATCCAGCAGGGACAGGCCTGCTGTCTGAATTAGCAACGAGCACAACGCACAAGAGAACACATGCGTTGAATCTCTTGTCACGGTGTTCATATGAGAAAATTGAGTGTTTGATGGCCGGAATGATGGAAATCCCTTTTGGTGTGTCAAGACAAATTCATCTGCCAATACACCAGCATCCAGTAGCGAGTTTACTTTTTGTTCATTAAGATGAACAACGACACCAAAAGCAACTTAAGAAACTGCTCAAAGGTAGTGGCCTTGCTGGAGAAACACCACTTTTCAAATAGGGCTCGTTTCTCTCGTGCAAATTCTACATGCGTCTGTTTTTCTGTTTTCGCATGCACTCTAAACTTCTGCCGATGAACTTTGGGGACCAACTCGTAGGCTTTGAGAACAGCGGCTTTAACAATCTCATAATCCAGACTCTACTCAATTGGTAACAATGCGCAAATCCCTTGAGCCTTACCCATCAAACTGCATTGTAGGAGCAGTGCCCACATATTCTTTGGCAACCTAAACTTTCTTGCAATGTGCTTGAAAGACTCACGAAAGGGAGGCACAAGCTTGATATATTTACTAAATTTGAATTTGGGATTTTTTTGTTCTACATCTGCACTAACAGGCACTAGGTGTGTGTGTGGGGGGGGTATCAAAATTATAACAAATTGTACTTTATGTGAAAATTGTTTTAAGTTAACTATTTTGTTTTAAAATCCTATTAAATGTTAAAAATAATGGCTTTCAATTAAACTGTAATGTTCAATTGCTATGATTAATGGCTAACATTGAGGGGGAAATGGATTTAATAGACACAGATCAGTAGCAGTATTGGTATCAATGATACTGGCCTTCCTTAATAATAGGCTACTTGGTAAAAAGCTACCATTAAACCACATATTTTAAATACACAGTCTTTGTTGTTTCTACATTAATGTGAAGATTCAATGTGAAATTATGACAATATAAATATATTATTATGCAATTAATTACAGAAAATGTGCAATTAATTAGTTTTTTTTTTTAATCAGTTGACAACACTAGTTCAAATGTTTTGATGTTTGTTGCTTTGTGCCATTAAACTGGTTTTAACTTGTATTTTTCTTATTTCACCTCAGACCTGATGGCACTGAAAGAGGAGAGTCAAGAACTGAATGAAACAGAAGAGAAAGATCAAAATGAGAAACATCATGGTTTCAAAACTGAAGAAAAATCGATTAGTTGCTCACAGAATGAAAATACTGCCTCACCAAAAAAAGCTCAAAAAACACAAACTACAAACCTTAATTCCTACATGAGAATCCATACAGGAGAGAGCTCTTTCACCTGCCAACAGTGTGGACAAACTTTCAATCAAAAAGAAAGCCTTGAAGTCCACATGAAAATTCACAATGAAAAGAAGCCATTCATATGCTCTCAGTGTGGAAAGTGTATTACACAGAAAAAAAACCTTAATGCCCACATGAGAACTCACACTGGAGAGAGACCTCACACCTGCAAACTGTGTGGGAAGAGTTTCACACGTAATGGAAACCTTAAGACTCACATGAGAATTCACACTGGAGAGAATCCATTTGTATGTGATCAGTGTGGAAAGAGTTTTAAGCAGAAAAAACAACTTTATACCCACATTAGAAGTCACACTGGAGAGAAGCCATTCACATGTGATCAGTGTGGAACGAGTTTCAGATATAAAGAAAACCTTAATAATCACATGAGAATTCATTTAAGAGAAAACCGTTTTAAATGTCATCAGTGCGAAAGGAGTTTCACAGAGAGGAAACATCTTAAGAATCATGTAATAATTCACATCGGAGAAAAGCCTTTCATGTGCCATCACTGTGGGAAGAGTTGCTCAAGAAAAGGACACCTCAAGGTTCACATCCGTGTTCACACTGGAGAGAAACCTTTCACCTGCCCTCAGTGTGGAAAGAGTTTCAGGTTTAAAGGAAACCTAAAGGCTCACATTAGAAGTCACACCGGAGAGAAGCCATTCACATGTCTTCAGTGTGAAATGAGTTTCCCAAAAAGCACAGACCTGAAACATCATTTGAAAACTCATTCTGGAAAGAAATTGCCATTTTCCTCAGTGTGACAAAGGGTTTAGAAAAAGGAGCAATTTCAACAATCCATTCTAAAAGACAATTCAATTTTGTTGGCCAGATAAAATGACAGATAAAGAAAAACGTAAATAAGAATTTTTCAGTGCACCAAAACACAAAGTACTAAAAGTCTCCATATTAAGGCAAAACATCTCTCCGCCAAACAAAACTGAACAAAATTACTTTTTTCCATTGGTTGTAGGTGTTTATTTTAGCTTATTGTTTAGTCAAGTTGATTTCAATTTAATGTTGTAATATCTGGATGAGATTACTGATTGTGGAGCCCTTGAAATACCAAGCAACTTTAAATTTATGATCAGGTAAAGCATGGAAATATTATTCAGCTCTGAAATATTATTTATCAGCACAGTTCATTCTTTGTTGTTTTTCAAGTAGCCTGTATGTACGTATTCTTAATGTAGGGCTGCACGATAAATCGAAATGGAATCGAGACAGAAGCTGCGATTGTCATGCGTATCTTTCAGTGAAGCACGGTTCTGTGATCAGCAGTAAATCTCCATCCAAAGGCCAGAGGGCGCTCTCGCGCTGAAACTCCAAATACGCCTCACAGAAGAAACCCAGAAAATGCCTATCGCTGCAGCTGAATAAACAGAAGATTCAACTGCTTTCATTGATTCAGGGTGACTAATAAACACACGACTACGGCAATATACGGTTTATCTGAGTTCTTATTATTATAATTTTCATTAAAATAAAGTATATTTATAATGCAATGCCTTTATCACTGCTTAAATACTATGAAATATGTTGCGTGCCTTATTCTGTGTAAGAAGCCACATCATCTCACAGAAGGATTTATTTCAAACACTCGACTGACGTTATGAAGTGAGTTTGGAGTAAAAATATGTTAATCAAAATGCGCATGACAATCGCATTCGATTAATTGTGCAGCCCTAACTTAATGTTTCCTTTCCAATTAATTTGGTGCAATAAACAGTTTTGTTCCTTTATACATTGTCTTGCTTGTTAATTATATATTACAGAAAGTATTTTAAAGAATTTATTCATTCTCCACACTGCTTGTAGGCTTGAGGGATGCTGGAGCCGATCCCATATCTAGGGCTGAAGACAGGGAAAGTCCATGGACAAATGGCCAGTCAATCACAGGGCTAACTGTATTTAAAGGGATAGTTCACCCAAAAATTAAAGTTCTGTCGTCATTTACACACTCTTATGATGATCCAAACCCATAAGACTTTTGGTCATCTTCAAAACAAAAAAAATATTATATAATGATGTCTCGGTCACACAGTCTGCTCTATAACACATCCTCAATCTCAAGACTCTGCTTCATAAAATGTGTTTTGAGGTCAGTTTTATAATCATGTATGGATGTGAAGGATGGAGTTCCAAAGTGTGTGAGCAGATGTGCAGAAACCCCAGTTAATCTGAACACTGAGCTCACAGAGTCAGAGGAATTGAGTGTGTAATCTGGGCTGTAGGGACAATTGAGATCTGAGATATACACAGGAGCAAGACTGTAATGGCCTTTGAATGTGCTGAAGTGAAGCGTCTGAAACGTCTCCCATTCTCAGTCGTTCTGCGACTGAATAAATGCACTTCTTGTCAAGAGAAAAAGTGACAGAAGCAGCAGCTGTGAGTGGGGTGGCCAACCCTAGCCCTGCACCTGCGTTAATTGTGTTAAATATTTTTTTAAGTATTAAACTGAAAAAAAGTAATTGCCTGCGTTAACGCGCTAATTTTGACACCACTATTAATTATCTGTAATTATCGATCTGTAATATCAATGACTTCTGGAGGCACCTCTTTTAGTAGCTTACATACCTGCAAACTAGTCGATTTTCTGCAAAATGTGCCGTTTTGAATCGAAATATGTGACCATGGACCACAAAACCAGTCATAAGGGTCAATTTTTTTGAATTGAGATTTATAAATCATCTGAAAGCGGAATAAATTAGCTTTCCGTTGATGTATGGTTTGTTAGGATAGGACAATATTTGGCTGAGATACAACTATTTGAAGATCTGGAATCTGACGGTGCAAAAAAATCAAAATATTAAGAAAATTGCCTTTAAAGTTGTCCAAATGAAGTTCTTAGCAATGCATATTACTAATCAAAAATTAC